GATAAAAGCCTCCTGGACCATAGTTAAGCCATCACAGTCATTCCTGCTAAAACCAGTCTAGATCAGCCAACACCTAACCAACTCTCAGATACATGGGCAAACTCACCTGAGACCAGAAGAACCTCCCACATCAGCATAAATCCCTGGCACATAGACTCTTGATCTCAATAAATGCTGAACTAAATAATTTTTAAGGCATGAGATTTGAGGTCATTTGTTACACAACACTATTGTGGCATTAGATAACTGATACAAATACCAGTCATTCATTCACCCTACTTCCAGGAAAAGCCCCAGTTTTCAGGGAGGATCCACCTCTCCTCTATTCATAGCCTATGCGGTCTGGATGATATACCTCTCTACTCCCCTACCCCTTAAGTATTACCCAGTGACTATAAAAATAATCATCTCATTGTTCTTACCATAACAATTTGTTCAGAGGTAGGCACATGATAAGGCAAACCAATCAAAGCAAAGCTCAGTATTTTCACTCAGACATAAAGAGGGTTAATGAGATCAGTGAGCCAAACTTTCCATTTTATAGTAGAGGCAACTGAAGCTCTGAGTTCAAGGACACCCAACTGGGTAGAAGCAGCCCTGAGTCTATAATACAGTTCTCCTGACTTCTATCTGGTTGATTTTTCTGCTATATCCCAGCATCTCTTCAGAAAAGACAACAGGATGCCCAGCTTCACTTAATAATTTACTAATAAAGTGTACACTGAATATCTTCTGTGTGCTGTGGGCACCATGCAAGGTGCTGGGGAAGTTTGAAATGACATGATCTGGTTGGCTTAGCCTTAGAGAGACAGACTTTCAAACTACTCAAATGCTTGTTGCAATCTTGCTGCAATGGAATTTTCTACAAAGCAGAGAATCTCCTCCACTGACTCATTTCATCCCCTATAGGTTCCCAAGGAAGCTCATCAAAACACCAGTGCTTGCTGTGTGCTTTTCAGAAGAGGCCAAACTCAGGAGCTGGTGGGATTTGATTTTTATTTAATAAAAAAGAAAATCACCTTCCTATCCTCCACCTGCTCTGTACCCTACTGCTGATGAGAAAACCAATAATCCAAATCAGAAAATTTCAAAAGCCTGAATTTCATGAAGTAATGTTTTACGGCTGCTTTCAGGTGAGTTCTTCCCCCAAGAGGTGTGCACTCCAGCAGAACTGAAGCCCAAATTACACATTCTCTCTGCCTTGCACCTTCTCTGGCATCTCTTGGATGCACATTTATCACTAAATGATACCCGTTTTCTTGGGAAAAAAGGAAATAACTAAGATTTATTGAGTACCTACTATGTACTAGACATTGCTTTAGCCATTTCACCAACATTATCTCACTTAGACCCTCTTAAGATAGGTGGCAAGGCAATATCATTTTTTTCCCTGTGACAGATGAGAATGAAGGCCCAGAGATATAAAGTAACTTGGCTGCCAAATTATTCCGTCACAGCTGATAAGTAGCAGAGCAGGACAGCTAACCCAAGACTGTCCATCTCCAGCATCCTTACCTTCCAGCTCAAACTCCAACCAAGAAAACAGTTTTACTTCAGCAAAGAACATAAGTAATCATGTTTGGAGGAGGGCTGGCATGTGAAAAAATGGTGCTTGAGGGAAAATTGTGTTTGCATCTATGACTGGGTCTTAGAAAAAGTAGGTCCAAACTTTAGTGTACATAGAATTATCTAGAAGGTGTACTTTAAAAAGTGAATGAAAAATGTGGAGGCCCCCTCACCCAAGTATAAGATTTGCACTTCTAACAAGTATCTCCAGTAATTTTGGATGAAGTCTTTAAGCCATTTTTTGAAGTCTGAGTCCTGGTCCTGGGTGTGATGTAATTTTCCTGTGTAACTTTGAGCAACATCGTTTATCGCATTTAAGTCAGTTCCTTCATCTGTAAAAGCAGAAAGGTTGAGTGAAATGTATTTTCTTCATTGTCTTCATTGAAGTGTATTACTTGCATTGTCTCATAAAATTACTCTCCCAACCCTGATGGAGGGTGGATATTATCATCGCCTCTGCTTCGGAAATGGTAGAAATGGATGTTCTGGGTATGTGAATGGTTTGCACAAGAGCGTACAGCCTGATTCTAATCTGAGCCAGAGCGATCAAATCACAGTACTGTGCTGGCAGTTTTCCCCAAGTTCAGTGTCAGGTTCGAGGATTTGTTTTGCAAAATAAACAGATTTCAAAAGACGTTCCTTTCTATTGTGATTAGTAGAGTCCCCTGGGCTTGAGGTAGTGGTGTCTTCTGTCCTGGATTTTAAAAGAATATGCCAAGACTTCCCAGGGTTGGGCATGGGTGGATCAATAGCAGGACCACTAGGGGGGGCGACCTTCATGGGAGACCTTAAGTAGCGATAAGTAAATAGTGCAAACTGGTATGCTGTTATTATTTCCTATGCTGGCAGATATGATTCCCTTCCAAAGTGACTTACAATCAATGTGGGACCTTGTACTTTCTCCACAGCTACCCCTTCCTTATCCAGCCTCCCCAGGTGACACTCACCCATCTGCCTTCTTATTGGCTCATCCCCTATGTCCCCACAGTGGGTTGCTAGCAACATTCCTGCCATTGGATGGTAAAATACTAACTGATTTTCCTGAAGAGAAGAGATCAGACGTAGAAATTGGTCAGAAAACGGTGGTTTATACAAAGTCGGTGTGTTTATGACACGGAATTTTTCAGAACCTTTCATTAGTTCACCTGATAGTAACAGTAATGATACCAGTCATGGCCCTCATGCATATAGACTTCCCACATGCCAGGCCCTGTGACATGTGTTGTACACAATGTCTCATCTCATTCTTACAAAAAAACAGGGGCTCAGATTGGTTGAGTGACTTGCTGAAGGTAACAAGAATACCAAACAAAGGGGCCACACTTGAAACCCAGGCATGGCTGAGGCTAAGCCCATCACTCCCCGCTTATGTCTTCCTTTCAAGAAGGTGGCAAGTATGGGAACCAACAAACTCCCCAATCTTGTTATTATGCCTCATGGTGACTTGAGACTCGGGTCTACACGCTAGACCAGTGATGGCGAACCTATGACACGCGTGTCAGAGGTGACATGCGAACTCATTTTTTTGGTTGATTTTTCTTTGTTAAATGGCATTTAAATATATAAAATAAATATCAAAAATATAAATCTTTCTTTTACTATGGTTGCAAATATAAAAAAATTTCTATATGTGACACGGCACCAGAGTTAAGTTAGGGTTTTTCAAAATGCTGACACGCCGAGCTCAAAAGGTTCGCCATCACTGGGCTAGATGCTGGAGGAAGATCAGTGACCCCCGGGGAACTCGACCTGGCCCTCTCTGAGTCCCCTTCTCTCTTCCCTAGATAGGCCAGGATAAAAAAGATGCATTTAACAGGACAGGTGAAATTAGCTCCGTTTGCATAGAAAAACAGCTTCCAAGCCTTGTTTTTGACCCAGCTTGAACTATTTTCTAAATGCATCAGACAACAGGCTGATAATACGGACAGGGATGCTGACTGCCTCCTGATGCTGTCACGGGACTCATAATGGCTTTGTTTTTCACAGGGGAGGAAAAAAGTTTATGCCTCAAATTAGTAGGTCTGTCATGTTCCAAATTGTTTGCATTTCTAAAAATGGATGTTGACATGTGACTAGTTATTATCTAACGCAAGACCCGAAAATCTGCCTCTTTCAAGTCAACAACTGAGTCGCCAAGGGATTCTCATTAGACACGAGGATCTAAAGCTCTGGCTCCTAAGAAGGGAATGCAGTGCAGCCCCTCTCACCCGCTCCCCCAGAGCTCAGGTTGTTTCTGAGCCTCTGGGACCCTGGTCAGGCTCCTCTCTTCAGAACCCTCAGCCCACAGGATCCCTGGAAACCTAATCAAAGGGTCGTTTCCAATCGCAGTGATTTTCAAAGTGTGGTCCCCGGACCAGCAGCATCAACATCACCTTAGAATCTGTTAGCGATTCAACCCACCCAAGGCTGGTGAATAGGAATCTCTGGTGGGGCCCAGGAATCTGGATTTTAACAACCCATCAGGGTATGCTGACGTGCATGCACTCAAATGGCTCAAATGTGAGAACCACTGGTGGGCCCACGACTCCCTCCTTCCCACTCACACGCACTCATTCACTGTATTCCAGTTTCTTAATTACTCTTCTACCCCCATTTTCTTCTCTCCTTCCTCTACCAGCCCCCGTTCAGGTTACCGCCCACCTGGGTGATGGCAGGCGCCTCCCAGTGGGTGTCACCAATGCCAGTCCACTCTCTCCTAATCCAGTCTCTCTGACATTACAGTCAGAGAGACACGGGTGTAAATTACAGCTCTACCACTTAGCAGCCCTGCGACTGTAGGCAAGCCAATCTCCTCTAAAGGGGATTGACAACACCTACCCCGCTGGGATATGGGAGGACTAAATGATAACAAAGCACAGTAAGGAAGTAACAAGCTCTATCCACCTCCTGCTCACCCAGCTAGTTTCAAGTAGACCAACTCCTTAACTTTTGATGCCACCTCAGCAAAGTTGAAGATAGCGTTCTGTACCCTGAAAGCCGAATCATTCCCAATGATCCTGGGAATGTTTTCTCTCTGTTTATCTATCTGTTTATCTCTCCCTCGAAAGTTGTGTTTTTTCCTGCATTCATTTACACTGTGTTTTGCCATGTTGTCTGAGACAAAGCAACATTTCCCAGAGGTCTTATCTAGGATGGTTTCTGGGAGTGACATTTTCCTTCAGGCAATATATATTGGAAAGTGAGAAGTAGTAATCCTTCAACAATGGGCCCGGCACACACACACACACACACACACACACACACACACACACACACACACACAACATCTATACACTAGAACCTAGACACTTAGACGGGCTTGCAGGCCCACCCAACACAGACACACATTTGCATTGAGTCATACATAGACACTAGGACTCTCTGTGCCTTCACTGATTAATAATGTCAAGTCTGACAACACCTGTACAAACAAGCTACAGAACACCGTTCGGTACCTTTTGGTGACTTAAGTGTCGCCACTGCCCAGTCACCATCAGAACTTCCTAAAAAATAACAATGGAGAGATGCTGATCTGTTTCTTGCTTCGGTTTCGCTGTGTCTTCACATCCAGGTGCTGCTGGCGGCCCCAGCTGGAGCCTCCAAGGGGGACAGGCCTCAGGGGACACAGGGAACAGGGCGAAGGACCAAATGTGTAAATGAAGTTATGTGGGCATCTCTTTCTGCAAGGCCTTGAAGCAGTTTCAAGACAAAGCCCACAGAGGGTCAAAAGAAGCCCCCTGCAAAAGGCCTAGATATTTTCAGTAACGTAAAGGGAGAGAGAATTCTTAGACAGTGAGTAGCTCTAAACCTCAACCCTCTAAGAAACAGAGAAAAATCTGTTTAGATGGGGTGACTCTGGTTAATGATGACAACACTGTGCTGACAAGGGATACACTTTGATCCTGTTTTACAGCAATCCCCCTCCTGGAAAAGGGGTGGGGTGCATTATTAGCATCAAATTCCAGGTAGGGGCAGACCCTGCTGACTGCAGCTGTGTTTGAAAAAATATTGTTGAATGAATGAATGAATGAATGAATGAATGAATTCAAGTTTCTCCAAGGAGTCACTTTTCCTAAGGTATGGAAATTCCCTTAAAAGCTAAGCTGGTGAATTGAGAATTCCATAATGCCCAGAATTTTTATTATAAATCAATTTCTCCAAATTGAATTCCATTTCAGAGGTTCCGAATGAGTGCTGGGGGACTCTCACATTATTAGCAGAACTCCAGGGGGACCCCTTTCATAAAGTAAAAGATGGCTCTGGCTACACACCCTAGCCTGTCCTTGGTAGGCTTTCTCTGTAAGATTGGGTTTTACTCAAAGCTAGGCAAACCTGCCCACGTGTCTTTGCAGCAGCCTCTGCCCATTGGCTACAGGTCTGACCAATCAGTGTGCACCACCAGCTTCTCTTTCTTAGAAATCAACCAGGAAAGACCAAGCTCTCAACATTTCTCTAAAGTTTCCAGAGACACGTCAGACTGCCAGCTGAGAGGAGACGTAGGGAACAGTCTGTGATCTGAATGATTACAGAGCACAAATCTGTCCCCACTTAAACAGTTCCGGTTGGCCTCACAGGCGTTCCAAAGGACACTCAAATTGCCACATTCCCCCTGTGGGTCTGAATTCTACACCCGCATCACTCACAACAGAGGGGAAATTGGAGCGACAGGAGAAGAGTAACAAGTTAAAATTAAGTGGAACCCGCCCAGGATGACTTCTTGTTTCTTCTTCCTCTGAGCCCGGGTCTTTGACACTTGGAAACAGTTACTTGGCCCAGTCGTCCTCTGCGGGTGGACACAAGCCTGACCAAGTCACTGGCCTCAAGGAAGCTCTGTCACCCCCAGTCAAAGCCATCACTGTTGCATTGAAGACAGGAACCATGCTGTGGTCACCTCTGTCCCCACTACCCAAGACAGGGCTTCGCTCCGACAAATTTTGTTTCATAAAATCCATTGTTAATAAGGACACTTACTCAGAGGGCATGTGGGCTATCAAAACACAGAGGTAAGCTTTCACTATGCACTTGGCATTAGTGGACATTAGATAAGTATTTTGGGTGTGAAAAATTAAATTCCTATTAAAAAGGGATGGACCTGAGGCATTGAGAAGAAGAGGACATGAGGGAGCTTTCTGGGAGATGAAAATATTTCTTGTCTTTACTGGGATGTTGGTTACCCTAGTATGTGTATATTTTAATAATCACACTATTGTAAAATTATGATCTGTGTATTTAATTATGTGTAAATTATACTTCAACGATAATATACATTAAATATATTTCAATTATACTCAGCATCACAGGACGATTTTTGCCTTCAAACAATGAAAAACAATTAACACCTTACTCAGTCTCCCCCTACAAAAAGAGAAGGGGCATCCTCCACTTTTTTTTTTTTTTTGGCTGGTTAGATCCTTCTGATGCCAGAAATTGCTCTCTGGATGACAGCGTCATTTTGTGGAAAGGACATAGGATTCTGCATCAGGAAATCCTAAATATGACTCTTATCTCTGTCATCTACAAAAGTGTGACTTTGGGAAAATCACTTAACCATACAGAGCCTCACTTTCCCCATCTGTAAAACACTGGAACAACACAGAGGTATACTGTTTGGGCGTTCAAAGATACCAGCTCCCTTCCTGCCATAACTTTAAACAAAATAATAAACTAACAGAGGTCATTTCATGGGTGAGGCCTGTATGCATCATTTAGGGTTTTCACACCAAAAAAAAAAAAAAAAAAAAAAAAGTGAAAAAGCAATTTCCACATGTCTAAATGCATTGTCACTGTGGCTTTAAGAAGTGCTATTGGAAAATGTAACACGGTTCCAGCAAAATAGTCCATCGTCTTGTCAAACAGCAACAGAGAAAATATTTTCTTATTAAAATTTTGAATTAAAAACAAAGGCACCACGCACAGCATTCTATCAATCATGCTGGTGCATCCTGTCTCTCTCACTAGGCAACCAAAGTTGCACTGAAGCATCTAAAGGGCACGTGCTTGGGAACCTTCGGTGGCTGAGGATTTAAAGTCTCAGACAGACACCTAGAGGAGAAACTAGACTTGGGGCCTATGGGAGATAAATACCAATGAGGGGGCAGTCTTCTGTTGGCAAAATCCATCAGGAATTGCAGAAAAGGGTGGGCCTTTTCTAGTTCAGGAGGCAGGATTCACCCCTCTCCGAACTCTCAGGTGATGCTTAGGGATATTTTGACAAACCCCTCCGTCTTATAAGGACTGACCTATGAGGAACCGTAAAATGGGTCTTCACATTGTAACCACCCCTCACACTGGTGGCTCAGGTCAGAGAACTTGGGTGCTTACCTAGATTTTTAGGCAACATTTTGGCTCAGCGTATCATCAGACACACCTCTTGACTTCCATCTTGGGGAAAACATTTCTAAAATGCTTGGACCCACATTCCTGACTTAGTAAGAGGATTACTTGAGTGAAATAGAATCCTTCTTTGATAGACCGTCGCCCTTCACCTGGGCGTGGGTCTTCACTGTCCAGGAGATAGATGGAGCGGGCCAAGAGGTTTGGGCTGCCTCTTTATTGGTCCTCTGAAAAGTCATCTGCTGTTTGCTTACTTGCTTGTTTGTTTTATGAAATTCCCGAAGTGAGTTAGCTTTCAGGCACGTCTTTCCCATCCAACTAGAGGAAAGGATATAGATCTATCTACTTCCTTCAAAGTGCAAGCTGGGCAATTGCGTGTTAATCAAGGCACCAGTGTATCTTGGAGATTCAGGGGAAAAATATGAGCAACAAACAACTCTTAAATGCGTGGCAGAATTTACTGAGGCCTGACTATAGACACTGTACATTTTTAATCTCTATTTTACAGATGGGGAAACTGAGACCTGAGGAGGTTAAGTAATTTCTTCAATTACTTGATAAATGTCTGAACTAGATCTTAAACTCAGTCCTGACCACTTGCAGAGGCCATGTTGCAGATGCCATTCTGCCATCTTGCTGATCACCTCCTGCTCCTGACTTGATGTGGGATTACATGGTATTATTCACCAGTTTTACAAATATATAGCGGGATCACTTATCAAGTTCCCCACATGGTGCTAGATGCCGGGGATACACTGATGCATGGGGAAGACTTGGTTCATGCCTCAATGAAACCTATGAAAAAGGGATGTCAGATGAAATGTTTGGGGAATGAACAAACGGATGATTGATTGAATGAATGAGTGAATGAATGAACATATGGTAAGTCAATTCCATCCCTCATTCTTGTACAGAGTCCGATGAGGTTTCGCCTCTGACATTTCCCTAACATGTGATAATCTTTACCGATAACTGGGCAGTGAATCCCTTGGGAACAGAGATGCGTCTGCAGTCACATGCTATATAAAAGCAAATGTTATAATTCCTGAATTACAGAGAGAAAAGAGCTCTCTTTAAACATGAGTGAGTGTGTTTCAACAAGCAAACCAAAAAAATTAAATTAAAAGGAACAACCAACAATTACTACCCTCTTCTCCCCAGAGTTGGAATTGAATGAATGGGACAATTTAATGGCCCATACTGTAATAACTAGATATTGTAATAACTAGAATGAGTGAGATTGTTTAACTTTCTAATTTTAAAATTAGAGCGGTGCCTGGAGACCATATAATTCAGCCTCCTCATTTTTCAAATGCAGAAACTTGGGTCGAAGGGTTTCAGTGACTACCTAACCCACCTGATGTTCTGGATATTAAAGCCACCAGGAGAAATTTATTTTTCAGTGGTATTTTTAAACTTGGCAGTTCACCCTAAAATCTGTCCAAGTCTCCTCTTATTTACTGAATGGACATTTTTATAAAATAAGTCTGGTTATCAGAGGTTGCTGAGCTTTTAACAGCAAAACATTTTTTAAACGACTTCTCTCCTGGGTAGTAATGATTTCAATCATGAAATGTATCCCATCATTCACACCATGGTCACATTATGACTTAATAAAGAACCCTTGAAATAATGTTTATTATGGGATTTGCATGTCATTTGTGCAGGCAGATCCTGGACTCCTGGTAACCCATTGAGTCAGGCAGTCCCTCAGTCAGCTCCTCAGTGGACTTCCACTCACTAGAGATTCCCAAAACTATCTTTAAGCCCCCACAATGGTCAGAGAAGAAGCAAGAGGGCCCATTAATCATATCGAGGATTAGGGAGTATTCCCCAAGTGAGATCCTTCACAAGTCTTAGAGGATATAGAGGTGTGGCTCTCTTCCTACTAAGCTATTCTTTGATTCTTGTCAAATACAAGCTCATTCACTCATTCAACAAACATTTTAGGAGTTCTTCCTTTGAGGAAGAAAGGCTACTCAAAGAGTGTCAAATAAATTGTCATACTGCAGATTTAATTCCAAATGCACTGCAGACATTTGCTCTGCACCATGCATAAATCCTGCACTCTGAAATCAAGGAACTCTGTGGCAACATGTATCCATTATTTACCCAAAGAGCTACCGGTTTTGAGGGGGGATGAGAGGCTGGGCCTAAGTTGAACAAATGAGTTGTTTACGGTAATGTGACCAGTTACAAAAGATAAAGCATCTGGACTGATTTTTTTTGTGTGTGCCAAGAAAGAAATCAAATATTAAGAGCAGATACTATTTATGACCTAAATGCAAGGCTCCGAACGGGAGGCAGGCCATCAAATAATGTATGAGGCTTCCACAATTACATCGACACAGATGCCCTGACTCTTCCTCTCCTAGGCAACAGCCCTCATCCCTTCCTAGTGTTATCTGTGTCTATTTGAACAGGCTTAAGATGTACGTGCTGTGCAAACACACAATATGGAATAGAGGAATCTGTGGTCATGAGATGTGGATGAGGGTTCAGTTGGGCGGTGAAATTAAACATGAAGCATAGGGGACTGGTATGTAAGGTCTTATGAAGCTTCAGATTTAGAAAAGCCCGCGTCAGTCTGCACAGCCCGCGTCCTTGGTATTATAAATTTGGCTCAACCCTTCTTTGCAGGGTTCCATCTGGAAATCCTAGGAGATCAGGGAACAAGAATTCCTAAAGATAGAGTTCTGGCTCAAACACTTACTAAGCTCCTAGTATGTGCCTGGCTGTCTGCTGGGCACCAATTTGGTCGTTTTGTGAGTCCGATGTTTGTAGACCATGGCAACCACAAGCATCATAGACACGTGACAGTGTCTGTGCTTGGGTTTCTGGTGTGAGTTCTATAATGGAATTAGGATATTTCACACTGGAATTGATCAGCAAGCGTTCCCACTCCATCTCTAATGAGTGCCTTGGCAGTGGGTCTTCTGTTTGCTCAAAGTCTGCCTTAGCCGTGGCTGTTGCTGTCACCCAATAGGACTCTGTCATGAGTACATTCTTGAAGATCCTTGGTCACTGTCACACTCCCTCATGTCTGATTGGGGAATGGACCGAAGGGCTGTGGGAGGGCAGTGGCAGGACCATAGGCTCCAGAGTGATAAAAACACAGGTTCAAGTCTCAGCTCTGTCGCCCACAGCGGCTTGATATGGGGCAAGTTCAATTAGCCTCCTTGAGTCTTAGTTTCCTAATCAGAAAATTGGAACCATACTGGCCTTCCTCTCTGGATCACTCTGAGGAAATGAGACAGGGCAAAAAGGCCCAGTGCCATGTCTCGCACTTGGTAAGAACTCGGTTAGTAGCAGCTCCAGGCTGCCTGTCCCAGGAAATGCTTACTCCTGAAGAGCAGAAGCTTCCTGGGATGGGAACGTGATCTTCACCCACTTCTCAGAGATTGAATTTCTGTGTGTAGATGAATGCTGTCCACTAAAGGGCAAGGCAGTCAGAGACTCCATGTCCTGGATTCTATGTTAGATTCCCTGAGGATTCACCAGGGCAGATGGTAGATGCAGAAGGGGCTGAGGTGTCAGTGGGACCTGATGAGCATACGGATCCTCCTCCCCAGGTAACAGCCCCAGCACGTGCTGCCCGCCCATCCTGCACCACACAGCCAGGACGGACTTGACCTGGGTCAGACAGAAAGCATCTGAGGGGTCTGATCCTTAGTAAACTATATCCCAGGTAGATAAATCCAGAATATATAGGTAGGTAGAATGATAGATAGATAGATAGATAAATAGATAGATAGATAGATAGATAGATAGATAGATAGATAGATAATAGATGATGGATAGAAAAAGAGAAGAAGAAAGAGAAGAGAGATTTTGAGAGATAGATGGATGAAGAAAGGGAGAGATTAGAAGAATGGAAAAAGGAGTTGAAAAAAAGTTGGAGAGAGAGGGAAAGATCTGGATGGAACAGCAAAGTAGAGAAGAAAGAGGAGAGGAGAAACAAAACAGCACTTACCGACAGCCTTCAAGGAGGCATACTTGTTGAGCTCTTTGCCAGGAGGCTGCTGTTCATAGGGGTTGGAGATCTGACCCAGGCTGGGGTACGAGTGCGGATGGCCCATCTGCTGCAGCAAAGGGGAGGTGGGCACTGCGTTGTTCATCTGGGTAGAGTCTGGAAATAAAGAGAGAGGGAGATGGTCACAGAGAGCACAGGTCCTTCTGCCAACCCCACCATTGCTGTATTCATCGAGACCAAAACTTCCGACCCTTTGGGGACATGAGAGAACAGCAACGGGTGTTTGGACACATCAGGAACCACGGAACACAGTCTTCACTGGAGAGCAGGTGAGGACAGATGATAAAGGCAAAGGATGTGCCCAGAAAGTCTCCACCTCCACCATAAATTAGCACAAGATCCTATCATTGTAGGGGCTATTTTTTAATTTATTGATTTGAGAGAGAGAGATACGAGTTGAAGAGAGAGACAGGGAGATATTGATTTGTTGTTCCACTTAACTTATGCATTGATTGGTTGCGTCTTGTATGTGCCCTCAGGGGAGATCGAACCCACAACCTTGGCGTATCAGTACAACGCTCTAAACAACTGAGCTACTAGGCTAGGACCTGGAGGGACTACTTTTATTATCAAAACAATATATGAATAAGAAGATGATCAACTTCGTAATAGTCAAGGAGATGCAAGTCGGAACAATGATGAGAAGCCATTCCTTTGCCAAGAGATGGGCAAACATGGAAAACATTGAAAGACACCAATACTGGCAAGGAAGCTGGAAACTGGGCAGTCTCATCAACTGATGGTGGATTTGGTGTGATTTGCTGCATTTGCAGGAAGGAATCTGGGAGTGGGTCCTGAATTTAGAGTCCATGTGCATGTTGATCAAATAATGCCACTTCTAGGGACTGAGCCTTCAGAAATATAAGCACCAGGATGTAGGGATATTTGTTGAGAGATGTTCATTGCACTGTTGTTTGTAAAGTGAAAACACACATATTCATAGAGAAACCATCTGAACTCCTATCAATATGGAAATAATTTTTTTAATTTTAACATTCACTTCTTTTACTTTGTTATTTTGAGCATGTTCATTCTCTTATTCCTATTCACTATTTAAATTTAATTATGTAGTAATTGATAAATAGCAAATATACATGCACAAATATGGAAGTTATTCACCCACCAGCCAACTTAGGAACTAGAACATAATCCATGCTCACAAAGTTCTTAAATAAATTATTGTATATCCATATTATGTACATAATATATACATACATATGATGGAATATAATTCATCCAGCAGAAAACAATAAGTTAAAAATCATTTAACCATGTTAAACTGAATATTTTCGTATGGTTTTTATATTGTTAAGAGGAAAAAGAAAAGAAAAGAATATAGCATTTTTTCTGCCCACCTGGTGTGGTTCAGTGGTTGAGCATCGACCTATGAACCAGGAGGTCACGGTCCAATTCCCAGTCAGGGCACATGCCCGGGTTGCAGGCTCGATCCCCAGTGTGGAGCATGCAGGAGGCAGCTGATCAGTGATTTTCTCTAATTATTGATGTTTCTATCTCTCTATCCCTCTCCCTTCCTCCCTGAAATCAATAAAAATATATTTTTTAAAAAGAACATCGCATTTTTGTTGAATAAAAGAAAATCTATGCATATTTTTGTGTGCTATGGTTTGCAAAGAAAAAATACGTCAAGACACACAAACTGAGTACTGGTTACTTGTGTGAAATCAGATTCGTGGGGAGATTCAAGAGGTTTCTCTGAGGAAATGTTCTCTGAGTTGAGATTTGGAGATCTAGATGTTAGTCAAGTGTGGGGAGATAGAAGGTGCTGGGGAGGGAGTTCCAGGCAGAGGAAGCAGCACGGCTGAAAGCCCTGAGTTGGAGGGAACAGTGCATTCATTCTCAGACACTGAAAGAATGCTCCGTGGCCACTAGCCAGGCATGGCTGCAGGGCGGGCTGTGAGAGACGTGGGACCAGGTGGGGCTGAGAGGCTGGCAGGACCCAGTAACCTTGTTAAGGGCTTCCTCCTCACCCTGAGAGCAATGAGATGCATGAACAAGAGGCAAGAGTCAAATGGGAGACAGGAGTCTAGGTGACATAATTATGGCTCCATTTCAGGCAGGAAATACAGGTTCTCTCCAACTTCAAGAAGCACATGTGCAGATCCAGACAAACGCGGCAGGGCTGCTGGTGGTGCCCTGAAGATTCCCGGACACGCACCCGTTTCCCCGCTGCTGTGTCAGCCGCTAACAGCCCACAGCTGTTCCAAGTGTCCGGAAAACTGCTCTCTAGGCTGATCGGAGCCACCACCCAAGTTCTAGGGCGCTTAATGCACCTCGCCCTCGCCACCGGGGGTGGCCAGCGACCAATGTCCACTGACATTAAGATCCAAAGACCAGCCTTTGTCTCAGGTGGGGATGAATTATGGAGCAATAGATACCACAGAGCTCCCAGGGGTCAGGACAAGTTTAGAGCAGGGGTTGGCAACTTTTTCTATAAAGAGCCGGATCGTAAATAAGTAGGTTTTGCCATCCAGTCTCTGTTGTAACTACTCAACTCTGCCCTTGTAGTGAGTAAGCAGAATAAACATTATGTAAATGATGGGTGTGGTTTTGTGCCAATAAAACTTTATTGAAAAACATAGGCGGTAGCTGGATTTGATTCAAGGGCTGAAGTTTGACACCCCAGATTTAGACTTTATCTGAGATTCTTAAGTGCAGCTCCTTTATCTTTAACATTTTGTTTTTCTCACAACCTTAGAGGTATGTGTGTGTGTGTGTGTGTGTGTGTGTGTGTGTGTGTGTGTGTGTTACCTGACAGGCACTCTCTCAAGTCTCATGCCCTGTACCCCTCTTAAGTGCTGCTCCTAGACAATTCAACCCATGGCATGCATGGAAGAGTTGGGCTTCAGAAACCAATAAACCCAAATGGAAAGAGGCAGGGATTTCACAGCTGAGACACAGAGATAAGGAGAGCATTTTTATCACTGCCCATGCACAGGCCATCACACAAGCCCAACTGTCTAATGAAAATGTCATCAAACATAAGCCAAGTGCCCAGCCTCTGGCCAGCATCTGAGAAGGCAGCCCTATCCTTCTCCATGATAGGTTTTTGGCTAACATTCAGCTGGGGCAGGAGAGGCTTAAGATTAATGAATTAGTGGAGGAAAAGATATTGCATAAGATACAACTTTCACTGGACCCTGGACCCCAAGGTCCTTTGACATTTTCCTCTCCAGAGCAACCTGCTGGTGAGGTCTGTCTGCTTTCCCTGGGCATGGCCGTCCAGACATGTTTTTGTGCCCAAATGTCAGTCCAGTTGTAAGTGGCTTATGTAAGTTCTCATTCTGTGCTTTTCCTCATGACATATTTTTCTAGTGGACAGCTTTGTTTATGTGAGTTCAGAGCCACCACTTCCTCTGGCACTTCCTCATCCCCATTTGAGTCACTGGATGAGCTGCCAATCATGGTAACTGCCTTAGTTTGGGTTTCCCCAGAAGAAGTCACTGAGATAAGGACTTAAGTGCAAGAAGCATAAACAGGAGATGATCTCAGGAAATGCTGGTAAAGTGGAGGGGGCGGGGGGTGAAACAGGGAAGAGAAAGAAACAGCTAGAGAGTGCAATGATAAGCAAGAAGCAACCTTGGTGAACTGGATGGAGTTTAATTCCACACTGGCATTTTGGTATGTTGGTGTAGAGTGCATGTCTCAGAATTCTGTCACCCCAGGAGAAGGGAACACCTTAGTATTTATACACTCACTCAACTAGTCATTGGTTGAGGACCAGAAGACAGTTATTCCTCAGCACTTGCAACCTGCCTTATTCATGGGCAGAGTGAGCTCTAGTGGCCAGAGAAACTCTTACTCAGAGATGTAAGAGCTGGCATTTGGAAATCAGGCCAGTACCTCACCCTTTTGGCCACAGAAGTGAGCCCATGACCCAAATCAAACCAATCACAACACCTTCTTCTTCTCACAGTGAGTAGGCCAGAAGTGAGTGTGTGATCTAGGCTGGGCCAATCAGAGTTCTTCCCTGAATTTTTCTATTTGGAACCTTTGGTGTCAAGGAGCTAGAAGGCATGAAGTCAAGTGAGTATGAATCTATCACATGGACAAAAGCATTTTCCATTGTGAAGAAATAAAGGACAATGGGCGAGAAGCAGAGGAGAGAGGGAAGCCCCTTTCTAAATAAGCTAGTATGCTTTGGGATTACTGTCACTTGCAAGGTAGACTTCTGACTAGTGTGATTGTTATCTGGAACTGACCAAAGGGGAGGCTGCCCATGGGGCTCTAAGGATTGTGTCAGATACAAAAGGCAATACTCCTGGGTTTTCTACAGAGCTTCAGTAGATATTTCAAAGAGCAAATTGCCTTAGTAGTGCATACAGAATTCTCAAGGATATTCATAAGCTAATTAACTAATGTCTTAATGGAAGTCCCCTCCCCTCCCATTTTCCCCCTGGAAATAGATTCCAAACACCAGTCTTTCTAGTTACAGAGTTGACCTCCTCAGCCCAGAAGCCAGTGGGAGCCCTTCCTCCCATCTCTTTGCTCCCTTAGTCCCAGATCCCACCCACTAGGAACAAATCCTATTTCCAGGCAGGTCAGGGGAAATGCTAAACACTTCATTAAAGAAAATAAAGATCTGTATAGATGTTCCTCACCACTTGGGACAGCCTTTTATATTATTAAACAAAATGTTTAATATTCCATTATAAGGTATTTGCTCTTGGATGACTCTCCCAAGCCCTGAGCTACCTCAAGGGCAGCGGTTAGCTACTTAATGTAAGTGGGTATGACGGAGAAGGCTCACCAAAGTGATCCCTCACAAAGAAAGAAAGGAGGCTGCCCCAAAGTTCCTGCTTTCACATTCAGAACCACAGGAAGCAAATTTCTGGTAGTTTTAGATCATCATTTTGTGCTAGCTTCCAGGCACTGAATATTCAGAAATATTGAAACCAGTCTCAGGCCAGCGATCAAGAATTATTAAACAGACATTTGTGACTGGGTTTTTAAAATGTTATTTCATTTTCCTGAACAGGACCTCACAACTCAGTTTCTCTGTGAATTTTCCACAAATATATCCAGCTACGGGGGAGAAACAAAAGTGTAGATGGAGAGAAAACCTGGTTGGCATTCAA